ACTTGCTCCAGTCAATAGATAGAGAGAGAGAAGAGGAGAGGAGAGGGAGAGGGAGAGGGAGAGGGAGAGAGAGAGAAAGCAAGCCTTCAGTTTCAGGACTTGAACTACAGTTAGTCATGTGGGAGTCCAGCACCCTAAACACCACGCTACCTGCTGGCCCCTCTAAATTATATTTCTTCTTTTTTTTCTCTTAGATTTTTGCTATAGGGCTTGTGTGCTCACCAGAGAGACAAAGAATTATCTTTTTATTTTTATTTGACCAGAGAGGGAGAAAGTGAGAGAGAGAGGGAGAGTGAGAAAGCAAGCCACCAGGTTTGGGACTCGAACCATGGTCAGCCATGTGGGAATCCAGCGTCCCCAACCACCACATCACTTGATAGCTCCTGGCGTGAATGTAAATTTAATTTAATAGTGTTAGAGGTATTGATTGGTATTTTTCAGTGGGAGGCTCTGAGCTTTTTAAAAGAAAGGCATTTTGAAATTCCTAGAATGACACGGAACTGGAGTTTTGCTTACTATTACTTTTTAGACGGAGAGCATGAATTTGTGATTCTAGTTTTGATTTCATAATGAACAAATGGGAAGAAAGGAGGAGAGCCATTTTTGAAACTGGCTACATGAGATAAAATATCTTTCCTAAGAACTCAAAGACTGGTGAAGTTTAGTGTTTTCTGTCTTAGAACAAATACTTTTTGCTCTTTTAATAAAGGCTTGCTTGCTTAATTCTGGTCATGTCTTTGGATAGACTTACCTGAATTGTGTGGAGGTAGGGAAGAGGTTCATAGTCACTAGCGTATGGTTTTACATATTTTAGCTCATTAAACCTAAGTCCTGAGAGCCAGCGCCAATTCACTGGTAATGCACCACTCAAGAGAAGCCAGATCCCACATGGGGGACAGGGTTTTGAATGCCTAGCTCTGTCAGCTTGAAACATGCATTGTGCCAATATCCTAGGAGCTGGAGGATTGGAGGGAAGGGAATTACAGTGTGAGTAGACTCTGTGGAGAGTGCTTCTCTTTCTCTTCTGTCTTAGGCTTACTCTCACATGCCTGTACACATGCTCTATCATGAATAAATTTAAAAAATGTAAAGAAATGTGTAAACATTAAACTCTGAAAAGTAATAGAAATCAAAAGCTTACAATGGTTATAACTTCTGTAAGGTCTCCTATCTATGTTTTGACAGAGCGAGGACTTAGAGCTGAAGTCTGATGTTTCATTTTGTTTTTAATCTTTAAAAGTATGAAGAATTTCTCTGGTTTACAGGGTTGCTGGAAACAGGAGAGGGGATCACGGAGAAATGTGTGATTTATTCAAAAGCCCCACCAACACCACCAAAACTTATGTTCCTCGTGTTTATAGTAATATTTGTAGCAATAAGAGAATTGATTGCTGTCTGGGTAACAGACATTTTTTATAAGCACACTTTTCATTAGATATATCTAATTTAATCTTTTAAACTACTTTATGTATATTTATTTCTCCATTTTACAGAAAAGAAAACTGAGGTTTAGAATCAGTAGATTAACTGATACTTTGTTCATGGTCCTATACCTATTATAATAAATTAGAGCTGAGGCTTGATCCTAGTCTGATTCCATAGCCTGTGTTAACTTCTGAGAGTCATAGTTCCAAATTATATTTCTTGTTTTAGAATTATTTATTTTATTTATTGCTATTTTTTAACTTGCTCCAGTCAATAGATAGAGAGAGAGAAGAGGAGAGGAGAGGGAGAGGGAGAGGGAGAGGGAGAGAGAGAGAAAGCAAGCCTTCAGGTTCAGGACTTGAACTACAGTTAGTCATGTGGGAGTCCAGCACCCTAAACACCACGCTACCTGCTGGCCCCTCTAAATTATATTTCTTCTTTTTTTTCTCTTAGATTTTTGCTATAGGGCTTGTGTGCTCACCAGAGAGACAGAAACAACAAGAAATCACTCCCCAAGGAGGAGTGGCCATACCGTGATCTCTTCTCCTCCAGTCTCCTCTAGGGACTTTGGGCACTTATGCACACGTGCCCAGCGTCTTCCAAGCCTCCGGATCTGGTACTTGAACCATAGTCAGCCATGTGGGAGTCTATGTGGGACGTAACCATTATGCCTTCTGCTGGTCCCTCCAAATTATATTTCTACAGCCATTTTACAGTAGAACACATCATTCTAGGGACTATGTTAATTGTTTTGTTATTTCTCCCTACTATCTGGTTGGCATTTCCTAATTGTTTGGTCCTTCTGGGTATTTGATTCAATTTACCTTCTTTTGGTTTGTAGTTCTTACATAAGAGACAGAATTTTTATACTGTCATTACTTGAGTGGAGATTGGATCTGTTGTAGACTATGGGTAATAGCAGGAAT